GTATACCATTTATTCTCAAAAATCACTACTATGTACTGCCTTAATTACAATGAAAGAGGTCTTCACAGTTACCCAACAAAAACCCTACACCAAATGCCTTGAAATGCTACCACAAAGCTCTAGCCGAAAATAAATTTAAAAGAAGCAATCATTTAAGATTAACTATAAAAAATTAACAAAAGCCTATAAAGCAAATTTCTCAAAATTTAAAGTGTAATTGACACCTATCTAACATCAATGCGGAAACTCCAAAGAAATGCAATTTACAGAACAATTTTAAAAATAATGACAAAACAAATGTTTTTTAAACAACCAAAACTTTATCTCAGCAACCAATCAAAAAAGAACCAATTTTTTGTAAAATTTAAACCAATTCCTCCTGTTTTTGAACCTAAAACTTCAACTATTTGCGTAATATGCTACTAAGAAGACCTAGTTCTTGAAAACTTTCGAATGTCCCATAATCTATTCAGGACCAAAAAACTGAAAGTATTGTGCTACGCTGCAAGAAAAGATGTTTCTAGAAGTGAAAATTCTCCTTGACCTCTATACATCTAAAACCATTCATTTCCCAACTAAAATAAAAATTACTTCTATCCAGTACTTCAGCACTAAGCACATCAATCCCTACTGTGCTCAGAAGCATAAAATCGCAATCTACTTATGGTATCTTCGTGATTAGCCTTCAACTTTCTAAAACATTTGCACCGTCTGACAAGTTATTGAAAAAAATATTAAATTAATCTTGTTTACAACTTACCAAATGTCTTTTAACCCGTGGAAGATACTTTTGCAAGATTTTATCGTAGTGATTTTGAAATCGAACCAATTTAGGAAACCCCGGAACAAAAAACCCTGTAAGCCGACCTGTTCAGCAACTGCAAAAACTAAGCCGCAACTGTAGCGATGAACTAAAAATTTGAAACTTTCTTACCATGCATAGAATGCCTTTCATTGACAAGCAACGAATGTAAACACCAAAATGCATCTTCCTCATCCATGTACATCAAGAAAAGAGCCGCAATTTGGCTCATACCTTGGCAGTAACCTACTTCTGTGTTATACATGGCATATGCAGCTAGCACATTAAACAGAGATTTCTGCCTAAATTGATAAAAAATAAAAAACTCAATCATAAGATTTCAGAAATGCTTCACTGCTCATTTTCAAAACTGAGAACTTAAATTCCCACTTTACGTCGTAACGCTTTCTGAATGCTAGATGATCTCGATAAGTCCTATTAATATCCAAGTCAATTTGCTTTATATCTTTAGAAACTAATCGAGCACGCATCAATAATTCCTTATACAAATTGTGTTGAGCATTATGCTTATATTTCGAAATCTCCAATAAATAAGTCCAGACCTTAAAAAACACCTGCGTCAAAAGTAAGAAAGCATTTTTCAGAAAAAGTAAAAATAACGAAATAAATACAGAGGATTCTCTTTTAACTACTGTTATTTCATCAAAGTGTTACCACAGATCTCAATTTTTCAGGAACTCCTTTCCATACACGCGAAGCCAACTTCGGAACCCGCTTACCCTCATTCCATCGAGCCATCATGTTAAGCCACTTATGTTCGCGAGACGTTTCCTTAGCTATCCTCTTCCTTTCTGCAGCTTCTGATGCAGAATTAGTGCTTTCATCTTTACTACAAATAACTAATTTTTCTATCCTGCCACTGTGAGCAACAAATCGCACACGGCAAAAAACTATATATGAAGCAAACACCACGATCAACGAAGACTTACTGAACAAACCCATAACGGTCGGTCACTCTATAAAGCTCAAATGTCGGGTTTTCCCACTCTTCAACTACTTGCTCAGGGCCCTTAAAAAAGAGCCTAGTTAAGAAGAAAAGTAAGTGTCTCGTTTTACGACATAGAAAGAAGGGAGTAGGTTGTCTTTATGACCGTAATTCAAAACTAAAATTAGTAGAAAAACGATACTAAATAACCAATTTGCATAATTACTTCTATTTGAAAATAAATGCGTCACCTTTTCATATTTTTCAACGATAGTAGACCTTTCTTGCAACTCCTGGAACTCAGGATCGTTTGAATCATCACTAGAAGATGCTTCATCATCGATCTGGGCTAAAAACGTAAGACTGAAGTACGGAGACATGTTTTGAAACACGAATGAAAAAGTAAAATTTAAAATAAAATTTACCACTTTTCTGAATACTTGTGGAGTTTAAAAAATCCAAAAATTTCTAAAAACTTTATGACTGTTTGACTGCGAAACAACAAGATCCTTTATATTCGGAAAAAAAAATGAAACTTAAAAATGACTTCAAGCAGCAAATTTTGTGCGGGTTTAGTTACCACTTTAGTGAAATTACTGTGCACCCAAAAAAAATAGAGAAATTTCTGGTTACTACGCATGCTTCACACTTCTATTAGTTGCTCAATCGTACGAAGCTAGCAACAATGAAAAATTAGCCCATTTATCATAATTTAAAAAAAATTTGTTTTAAAAATTCACTTAATCATAGTGAAAATTTAGAACTACAGGCAATCATCAATTGATTTGAAAACAACTTTTTTATTTTTTATTGAAGGCATTGTAAAATTAAAAAAATAGTGTACTTCTCTGGGATAAATATCAGAGAGCCAACAAATGTCCAAAAATAAAGAAATGCAGAATTAGGAATGATCACACTAATTAGATAGCAAAGTACATATTGAAGACTGATCAAATACGACTAGTTAACTGCCAGTCATACCAAAAACCTAATTAAAGTGAGGAAATTAATTAAACGAGAAATTGACATAGGGAAGTCCAACAATTAATTGCGCTCACACCATAAAGAAAACTGAACATCCATTTTACCTTTCATTTTCCATTCAATAAAACAACCATACGAATTCATATCAAACCCTGTAACTCAACCCTAAGAAAAACAGCAAATATTTACTTCACTCGATTAGCACAAAACAAAGTGCAATTTCCCAGTAACTTTGTTTTAAGCATTTTTTCCAAAAGGTCCAAAAATTCTCGTCAATTTTATATCTCGACTGATTGAAGGGTTAAAACAGATAACATTCATAGAAGACTTTACCCTTCTGCTCAGAATTAAAGTTTTGCAAAGCCAAAAATTAGCTGCAAAAATGTGATATATGCTTAATAAGCGTCCATTAATATAAACGCGAAACTGCAGTAACAGAAATACTTTACGCTAACAATGAAGCATCCTAACATATAGCCAGAAAATTTGCTCAATTTTTATTCTACAAACTCTCGTTTGGAGGAAATTGTACCAAAAAGTGGTCTCACTATGAGAAAAACTGTAAGAATATTGAAGACACTTTAAAATAAAAAGTTGGGTCAGAAACCAGCATTTGAAAAACTGGCAGACTTGAACAAATAAATTCTGCTAAAATCGTCAAGAATTCCAAATTTCTTTCATTTTGAATTTCTATCAAACATAAAACATAATTTAGAAAGCGCTACCAGAGTAAATTACTACAAAAATAATAGCTCCACTTAATTAGAACAAAACCAACTGCAATTTCCCACTAACTTTGTTCTAAGCATTCCTTCCAAAAAGTTCAAAAAATTCTCGTCAGTTTTACACTTCGACTGTTTGAAGAGTTAAAATAGATAACATTCATAATGATTCATTCATAACACTAACTTTGTTCTAAGCATTTCATAACATTTCATTCATAACACTGTTAACTATTTGATATTATTAAACTTCCCCTTTACTAACAAACCTGCGTTTTTAATAAAAAATAATAATTTTAATGTACTGAGTCAAAACTGCAACCAACTTCGTACCAACCTAACACCAGCAGCAACAGCTGCTAAGCTTTCACAATTATAAACAATCTTCGACGTCTACCGTGATTTCTGCTCATAATGCCCCCAGTTCTTTTTGCTATGAAAAACAATGCTTCTGATCACTTTTAAGAATCCCAAAAAAGCTGCATCAAACTTAACAAGAACTAAAGATAAATAAATAAAAATACCACTGAGGCTAGAAGAGAGTGCGGAATGTTGTTCCAACAAAAATTTTGGGACAGTGAACCGATTAGACAGCTCAGTAACTTTTCTTTTAACAGAAGATGCAACACGAATTGAAACGGCCCGATCGCAAGCTCGTTTGATACTTCCGGCTGCACGGCGTCTCAGTGGATCACTCAAGGTGGCCTCGAGTTCATTTTTTACTTTGTACACA